GAAAAGCCTAATGATTGCTGATGTAGTCACTGATCCCATTCTAGACTAGAGCAGAACTGCCTGCCTGGTGTCCTCCAAGAGCGTCACACAGGACGCTGAGAAGCTGTGCGGGAAAGAAACCTCCCCACTCTGTTGAGTTGCAAAGCTGACACGTGTGCCTCAAAAATTCCTGCCAGGTGCCCTAGGCTTCTCAGTCGTGGGTCCCTGTCCCTCATCGTCTCCACTTCACCTCCCCTCCCCACAGCCATGTAAAGACTTCAGATTTTCTTATATGTCACCTTTTTTTTTTTCCTGCTGCAAGCAGCTCTGCATGAAAATTATTTTTATCTTTCCCTTCGTTTTTACATAAGAGGTAGCCTGTTTTACACGCTGTTCTCCTCCTTTTTTTCATTAACAATATATCTTCGAAATCTCGCCACGTCAGTACATGAGGGAGCTTCCTTCAGAGAGACGTTTTTAATACAAGTCACACTGTAGGCTAAGTTCCTTTCTTAGAACTAAGCAGCGTCAAACATCAGTTCGGGTGGTAGCTCAGAGACCATCTTGACTGCAGTTCTTAAAATGGAATTCAGGGTTTGTTTTGAGGGGCCCATGAACTCCCTGTAGCTTGAGGCTGATTATATGGAAACGGCCTTTCTAGATAGCGGGTGGTATCTGTGGTTTTGAGCACATGTGGTTACCTGGAGTAGGAGGTGGAGCAGGAACTGGGTATATAAAGGAATGGGGTGGGAGGGAGAGTTTATTATATGTCTTCTCATATATTTAACAGTTTTCTGAACCTGTGAATGCAGAATACCTATTTGGGGTGGGAGAGAGGATTTAATGTCTGTTTTCTTGGTTTACTCAAGTATATCAGAAAGCATCAGAAAGGCCCAGTCTCTTGCAGGCCTGATGCATGGCTGAAGGGCTGCAGCCATGAGCCCTCTGAGAGGGTCCACAGAGCTGTGGGTGTGGATACACACAGATGTTCTTTGGGGGACTGGGGATCTGGAATCCAAAAAGGCCTGGCCTTGTTTTATACATGGGGACCTGGAAGCCCAGAGGGGTTAGGCCCCACAGGCCCCACACTAAGCCAGGGGCCAAGCTGCCTGTGGGCATCCCAGCTTCACACCCTCCCTTGGTATATCCGCCACAGGCCACACACTAAGCCAGGGGCCGAGCTGCCTGCTTCACACCCTCCCTTGGTGTATTTACTAAAAGAGGAGCCTCTGTTGGAGGCATTGGTCTCACAGAGATTGCCAGTTCCAGACCTTCCCCAGCAGTACGTATCAAGGCCTTCTTGGGATTGTAGCAGATGGTTCAGCTGGGCCATGGCCCCTGGGACCCTGGACCCCAGGGTCTTGTGGCTTCTACAGGCAGAAGCAAGTCCGTCTGCCTGATCTTGCTCCTGATCAGGGCTCAGCAGGGAGGCACCCCACCCACACTAGAATTCATGGAGTGTTTTTCCACTCCAAAGTTTTTTGTATGCCAAAAAGTAACAGTCATAGCTGAAACTTCCAAATCACCTATTGGGTATGTACCAGGCTCCATTCTGAGGAATGTGTGTGTGTGTGTATTTCATATAAACATATATGTATAATTTAATGCATTTAATGCTTATAAACTACCCTGTGAGATAGGCACTGTTATTATCTCCATTTCAGCCATTGAAGTTGACCACTGTGGTCACAGTAAGTAGCAGAGCCCGGCTTCAGACAAAGATATTGGAGTTTAGAGGCTGGGCTCTTAACCTGTTCTGCTATGTGGTTCTTTAGTACTATAATTAATAAGCACTTATATCATTTACTAATCACATGACTGTAAGCAACCAGGAGACCTCCATTAACACAGTAGAGGTTCACTTCTCTCTTATACACCCGTCTGAATGGAGGCAGATGAGGATTCTGAAATCTTCTGTGACCCAGACTCCTTCCTGCTGGTTGTTCCACCATTGCTAGGTTTTGCCCCTTATCCTCATAGCCCAAGACAGCTGCTGAAGATCCAGCCATCACATCCACATTCCAGGTGACAGGAGGGAAGAAGAAATCAAGAAGGAATATTTCTTCTTTTTAAGGACACTTTCTTTTTTTAGGATGAAGTCTCAATCTGTCTTCCAGACTGGAGTGCAGTGACATGATCTCAGCCCACTGCAACCTCCGCCTCCCAGTTTCAAGTGATCTCCTGCCTCCACCTCTCAAATAGTTGGGATTACAGGTGTCCACCACCACCCCCAGCTAATTTTTGTATATATATTTTTTCAGACGGAGTTTCACTCCTGTTACCCAGGCTGGAGTGCAATGGCTCAATCTTGGCTCACTGCAACCTCCGCCTCCTGGGTTCAGGCAATTCTCCTGCCTCAGCCTCCTGAGTAGCTGGGATTACAGGCATGTGCCACCATGTCCAGCTAATTTTTTGTATTTTTAATAGAGATGGGGTTTCACCATGTTGACCAGGATGGTCTCGATCTCTTGACCTCATGATCCACCCACCTCGGCCTCCCAAAAGTGCTGGGATTACAGGCTTGAGCCACTGCGCCCAGCCAGTTTTTTGTATTTTTAATAGAAATGGGGTTTCTCCATGTTGGTCAGGCTGGTCTCAAACTCTCGACCTCAGGTGATCCACCACGCCCAGGCCTCCTTTTGTCTTTGGTATCTGTTGTTGCTGCTGGTTCTCACTCATAATGTCTTGTTTTCTTTTGCACCTGGCTTATCTCTGTCTGTGTCCTGGGCATTATACTTGAAAAGTTATTTATAGGAATTTCAGGGCTAGGATGAGCATATTTTCCTACAGAGAGGATTGCCTTTGCTTCTGCTGGCTGCCTGGGGACATGACCAAGTCCTAGGTTTCCTTCCACCAGGTTCTGGGCCTGAGCTGCCCTGTCTGACTTCTTGTCCCAAGAATGGCTTTGTATACTTGGCCCTGCATACCTGGTGTGCAACTCCTGGGAATGGGTAGGCTGCCTGGTTCCCTCCTTCCTAGGGGTGGAGGCTTGTGCCTTGCTGGGTCTTAGTTTCCTGTAGGGTAGGTCTCTGGTTACCTTATATGTCATATATGCCCTGGGCTAGCATTTCTTTTCTTTTCTTTTTTTTTTGGAAACAGAGTCTCGTTGTGTGGCTCAGGCTGGAGCGCAGTAGCATGGTCTTGGGTCACTGCAGCCTCTACCTCCTGGGCTCAGGTGATTCTCCCACCTTAGCCTCTGAGTAGCTGCGACCGTAGGCATGCTACGTGCTGCCATGACTGGCTAATTTTTGTAGTTTTTGTAGAAGCAGTGTCTGTGTTGCCCAGGGCTCAAGCAGTCCACCCACCTCGGCCTCCCAAGGTGCTGGGCTTACAGGCGTGAACCACCACGCCCAGCCTAGGCTAGCATTTTTGTCACCTATGAAAACACCTAGCAGATGTCCTCAGGCACATGAAGAAGCTTATAGGGCCCCTTTACTTTTTTTTTTTTTTTTTTTGCGCCTAGACCTGCAAATCCAAGATCCTTTACTACTACTACTTTTTTTTTTTTTTAGACAGTTTTGTTCTTGTCTCCCAGGCTGGAGTGCAATGGCACGATCTCGGCTCACTGCAACCTCCTCCTCCCAGGTTCAAGGGATTCTTCTGCCTCGACCTCCCCAGTAGCTGGGATTACAGGCATCTGCCATCATGCCTGGCTAATTTTTGTGTTTTTAGTAGAGACCAGGTTTCACCATGTTGCCCAGGCTGGTCTTGAACTTTTGAGGTCAAGCAGTCTGCCTGCTTCAGATTCCCAAAGTGCTGAGATTACACATGTGAGCTGCCACACTTGACCCAATTCTCCTTTTAAATTTGTTTGTATGTTTATTTATTTACTGAGGCAGTCTTGCTCTGTCATCCAGGCTGGAGTGCAGTGGTGCCATCTCAGCTCACTTGCAACCTCTGCCTCCTGGGTTCAAGCAATTCTCCTGCTCAGTCTCCTGAGTTGAGTAGCTAGAACTACAGGTGCCCTCGACCACACCCAGTTAATTTTTGTATTTTTAGTAGAGATGCGGTTTCACCATATTGGCCACGTTGATCTCGAACTCCTAAACTGGTGATCCGACTGCCTCGGCCTCCCAAAGTGCTGGGGTTACAGGTGTGAGCCACTGCGCCCAGCCAGATTATTTTTAAATATGTAATTAAATTACTATCTGCTATAGTTGCCCTGTTGTGCTGTCAAATACTAGATCTCCTTCATTCTTTCTGTTCTTATAGCCATTAACAATTCCTAGTTCTGTGCTTTTGAAGTGCTGGGATTCCAGATTTTTTCTTTTAAAAATCTTAATGTTTATTTTTAAAAATTTATTTATTTTAGTTCACCCGTCTGCACACTGAAGGGGTTCCAGATTCTTTTTTTTTTTGGACGGGGTATTGCTCTGTCTCCAGGCTAGAGTGCAGTGGCATGATCTTGGCTCACTGGAACCTCCACCTCCCGGGTGCAATTCATTGTCCTGCCTCAGCCTCCTGAGTAGCTGGGACTACAGGCGTGTGCCACCACACTCAGCTAATTTTTTTGTATTTTTAGTAGATAAAGGGTTTCACCATGTTGGCCAGGATGGTCTCGATCTCTTGACCTGATCCACCTGTCTTAGCTTCCTAGAGTGCTGGGATTACAGGCGTGAGCCACCGTGCCTGGCCAGAGGTTCCAGATACTTAGCATCCTCTCGCGGGGTTCTGGGAGTTGGATGGCAGGTTTCCCAGTCTGAGGTTTTGAGAGTCAGCCCCTGCAGCCCTGTGCTCACTGGCAGGTCCTGGAGGACTGAGTCAGGGGTCTGCATGCAGACCAGGGCACTGCCACCCCACCTGCACTGCCAAATAGTGGCATCTGGGCTCTCTCCCCAGATGTGGTCTTTGGGGACATCTTATCTTCTTGCCAGCCCTTCGACTATCTTCTCAGGGACTCCCTGACTTGGTCACCAGGTCCTGGTCAGGCGCTGCATGTGCTGAGTCAGAAGGAAGTCAGGTGGGTCTGTGGCGGAGAGCCAAGGCTGGGGGACTCACCACCTTGCTGCTTCTCTCCTCAGAATCTTCATCATCTGGGCCATTAGCAGCTGGTTTCGCCGAGGGCCAGCCCCTCAGGACCAGGCGGGCCCTGGAGGAGCCCCACGTGTCGCCAGCCGCAACCTGTTCCCCAAAGACACTTTAATGGTAACTGCCGGGTAGTAGGACAGAGTTGGGAGATGATGGGGCGAGGAGGTGCGGATTGTGGAGGAGTGATGTCAGCAGTCCGGACAGACCAGGTTCCTGCTCACTGGCAGGTCTAGGAAAGCAGGTCCAGGGTTGAAGAACTCTGGGTCCATCCCTGTCACATTAGACCTGTGCCACCCAAAGGAAAAAGCAAATACTTTTGGTTAAAATATCTAACCAGGGTCTTTGGATGTTATTTTCAAAAGTATGTTCAGCCTTTAAAGGTTGCAGAGGGAGGTGTGGGAGGGAGTGTGAGAGGTGGGGAGGGCAGGGAGCCAGCAGAGGCTGTCAGGAGGTGGGCACAGAAGGAGGGGAGACCTGCACTTCCATAGTGGACTTGGGCACCAGCAGCAGGGCTTCGGAAGCAAAACCGTTTAGACCTGTCACTTTCGACTTTTCTGAGCAAACATGGCCATGGGGTCTTGAGAAGGAAGGAAGTTCTTGTTGGCTCACCATGCTTTTTTTTTTTTTAAGATGGAGTCTCATTCTGTCGCCTAGGCTGGAGTGAGTGCAGTGCTATAATCTCCGCTCACTGCAACCTTTGCCTCCCAGGCTCGAGTGATCCTCCTGTCTCAGCCTCCCAGGTAGCTGGGATTGCAGGCATGTCCCACCATGTCCGACTAATTTTTTTGTGTTTTAGTAGGGCTGGGGTTTCACCTTTTTGCCAGGCTGGTCTCAAACTGCTGACCTCAAGTGATCCACCAGCCTCGGCCTCCTAAAGTACTGGGATTTTAGGTGAGACCCACCGCGCCCAGCTGCTCACAGTGCTTTTTTAGTTCCAGACTGCTCTATCCATAAGTCTGTCTGCAGAGCTCTGACCAGGAAGGCCCAGCAGCCACAAGGGCAGGAGATCATTGAAGGAGCTCCTGCCCTTTCTGCCCCTAAATTCTTGTTGGCAGACTGGTCCAGGTGTTCTTTGTTCGTTGACTTCACAGGCTCAGACCAGGACAGACGGTCGAATGAGAAAAGGGAAAATATGTTTTCTCTGCTGCTCTTCCTCTCTCCTCTCCCCTGCCCTCTGTAATTACTGTTCCTCTGAGTGCTGACCGCTGCCATAGCTCTTCCTCTGTTCTTTAGCCAGCCTGCAGAGGCGCTGAAGAGCAGGCCTGACGCTGTTCCCTTCCCTCCTCACAGAACCTGCACGTGTACATCTCAGAGCACGAGCACTTTACAGACTTCAACGCCACCTCGGCACTCTTCTGGGAGCAGCACGACCTTGTGTATGGCGACTGGACTAGCGGGGAGAACTCAGACGGCTGCTACGAGCACTTTGCTGAGCTTGACATCCCACAGGTGAGGGACAGCTTCTGGTTTCTGGCCCCATGGCTGTTTGACTGGCACTGAAGGACCTTTCCTCCAGTCCATTCCTTTTTGAAGGCGTGTAGAATTCTGGCTTCAGGCTTGGGACCCTACCCTGGGCTCACATGCTCTGTGACCACAGGTGGGTCCCTGAGGTTTCTGGGCTTCACTTTCCCCTACCTGAAAAAGGTAGAGGCTGGGCACGGTGGCTCATGCCTGTAATCCCAGCACCTTGGGAGGCTGAGGCAGGCGGATCACCTGAGGTTGGGAGTTCAAGCTCTAGACCAACATGGAGAAACCCCATCTCTACTAAAAATAAAAATTAGCCAGACGTGGTGGCACATGCCTGTAATCCCAGCTTCTTGGGAGGCTGAGGCAGGAAAATCGCTTTAACCCAGGAGGCAGAGGTTGTGATGAGCTGAGATCGTGCCGTTGCACTCCAGCCTGGTCATCAAGAGCAAAAATATCTGTCTCAAAATAAAAAAATACAAAAATTAGCTGGGCCTGGTGGCAGGCCTCTGTAATCCCTACTCAGGAGACTGAGGCGGGAGAATTGCTTGACCCCCAGGGGCTGGGTCGCAGTGAGCTGAGATCACGCCACAGCACTCCAGTCTGGGCCACAGAGCGAGACTATCTCAAAGAAAAAAAAGAAAAAGGTAGATAGGGGTGGAATTGGCCCGGAACCCTCCCAGCTGCCTCTAAGGTTGTGCAGCCCTCAACTTTAAACCAGTGAAAGATTAGTAATTGTCCTGGGGATGTTTGCGTGTCACCAGTTTATCAGACAGCTCTGTTTCAAAATAATGTGAGTTTTGAGCAATTACTAAGTGCAGGGTACTAAGCTATGCTGACCTTTGGAAACCCGTGAAATAGGAACTGTGATCATTCTCATTTAACATATGAGGAAACTGAGACATAGGGAGGGAAAGTGACTTACCCAAGGCCACATCACATGAGAGATTCAAACTCAGGCTCTATGACCCTGGCCTCTCACAGCCCCAGGATTAAATCTTGCCTCCTCCAGGAAGCCCTCCCTGACCCTCAGAGCACTCAGGCTTGGTTAAGTGCCCTCTCTGGGTTCTCACACCTGCTGGGCTTCCCCATCCCACCCCACTCTGGGGCCTCCCTGGGACAGGTCTTTCTTCTCTATGGGACTGTGAGCCTTATGATGATAAGGCTGGGACTGCCTAGATCCCTTCTGTGTCCCCAGCACTGCCCAGTGTGGGACTGGGCCGAGAATCAACAAATACTGAACAAGGGAAGGGGACATGTTTTTGGGGCCTTCTTCAGCTGAATCCAAGACAGCTGCCCTTGTTCCTTTCTCCCCAGCAGGCCTTCTCCTCATCCTTGGGGTGGAGGGTGCATTCTTTTCTGTTTCTTTCTGGATGGCTAGAAGCTGAATGTGGACACAGTCATTCTTTTTTTTTGAAACAGAGTCTTGCTCTGTCAGCCAGGCTGGAATACAGTGGCGTGACCTTGGCTCACTGCTGCTTCCATCTCCTGGGTTCAGACTGTTCACATGTGTCGGCCTCCTGAGTAGCTAGGACTGCAGGCACCCAGGACCACACCCAGCTAATTTTTGTATTTTTTTTCTTTTCAGCAGGTGGGTTGCTACACACTCCTTAGTGGATTCCAACTTCCATGGCCACCATCCTAATTTTTGTATTTTTAGTAGAGACAGGGTTTCACTATTTTGGCCAGGCTGGCCTTGAACTCCTGACCTCAAGTGGTCTGCTTACTTTGGCCTCCCAAAGTGCTGGGATTACAGGTGTGAGCCACTGCGCCCTGCCATCATTCTTTTTGAGATGGGATCTTGCTGTTGCCTAGGCTGGAGTGTGGTTGCACGGTTACAGCTCACTGCAGCCTCAACCTCCTGGACTCAAATGATCCTTTCACCTCAACCTCCCAAGTAGCTGGGACAACAGGTTTGCACCACCATGACCAGCTAATTTTTTGTGTTTTTCATAGAGGTGGGGTCTCAACATGTTCCCGAGGCTGGTCTCAAACTCCTGAGCTCAAGCGATCCTCTCACCTCAGCCTCCCAAAATGCTGGGATTACAGGCATGAGCCTGTAATGAGTGGGCTGGGATGGGGAAGCCCAGCAGGTGAGAGAACCCAGAGAGGGCGCCCCACCTTGCTGGACACAGACTTTCTAACCTGCACTGAGACGTGCCTCCCACAGAGACCTCAAGCCCAGCCCCCAAGCCTTGCCCCAAGATCCAAGGAAGGACCAGGGTGTGGCAGGCCCAGCAGGGGGACCTGCTTCCAAGGCCTTGGATCTAAGTCGAAGCTTCAGGGGTCTGGGTGGACTTAAAAGGCTTGAGAGCTGGGCACAGTGGCATATGCCTGTAGGCACAGCTACTCAGGAGGCTGAGGAGGGTGAAGGACTGGAGCCCTGGAGTTAGGGCTGTAGTACACCATGATCACAACTGCAGATAGCCAGTGCACTCCAGCCTAGACAACACAGCAAGACCCCGTCTCTAAAAACGGCAGGAGAGTGAGGCGAACACAATGTGGCCGAATGAATATGAGCTCTCCTCAAGGATCAGAGAGATTCAGCTCTGGGCTTTGTCTCCAGCCCCTGGACAACTTGTCTCCCTTCTTGAAGCCTCAGTTTCCTCATCTGTATCAAGTGAGAATAGTCCCTCTCCCCTGGGAGGCAAGGAGACTGGATGAGATAATGAGAAGGCTTGGGCAGACGGGCCAGCTGGAGGTAGCAGGGAGTAGTGCACAGTATCCCATAGACTGGATTTCCATCTGCATACTCGCCACACACTATGTGACCCCTTGGCATGAGCCCCGTTTGCCTCATCTGCAAAATGGGGTGGTAATGTGACCCATTGCATAAGGTCGGTGAATGTTACATGTGTGTGGATTATGGAACTTCTGTCTGAAGCGCCCAGGGCAGGGTCTGGCCCGTCATAGGAGCTCTGTGTCGGTGAGCTGCTTCTTCCTGCTGAGTGAACTCTTTTTTTTTTTTTTTTTGAGACAAGAGTTTTGCTCTTGTTGCCCAGGCTGAGGTGCAGTGGCATGATCTTGGCTCACCACTGCCTCCATCTCCAAGATTCAAACAATTCTCCTGCCTCAGCCTCCCAAGTAGCTGGGATTACAGGCATTCGCCACCACGCCCAGCTAATTTTTCGTATTTTTAGTAGAGATGGAGTTTCTCCCTGTTGGTCAGGCTGATCACGAACGCCTGACCTCATGATCTGCCTGCCTTGGCCTCCCAAAGTTCTGGGATTACGGGAATGAGCCACTGTACCCGGTCTCCTGCTGAGTGGACTTAAGGAGAGCTTATTGGCTGAGCTGTGTGCTAGTGCTCTGGGTAGTCCCTGCAGTGGTGCCCTCGGGTCAGTGCTGTGGGGACCTTGCATCCTCCATGTGGGGTCCTGAGGCTCAGGGAGAAGCGGAGCTCACATGGCCATGACAGGTAGAGCAGGGGTCTGAGTCTCACTGACTCCAGCATTTAACCCTAAACCACCCAGCTACATGCCCCACCTTGAGCACTCAGTAAATAGCCAGAGAATTGAGGGGGAGGAAAGTGCTGGGGGCGGGTGTCAGGCAGGGCTTTAAAGTGTCCCTCATCCCAGGTGCCCAGCTTGCCCACCTGACCCGTCTCTTGCAGAGCGTCCAGCAGAACGGCTCCATCTACATCCACGTTTACTTCACGAAGAGTGGTTTCCACCCAGACCCCCGGCAGAAGGCCCTGTACCGCCGGCTTGCCACAGTCCACATGTCCCGGAGTAAGTGCTTTTCTGCAGCCAGGACCCACTGTCCGGGGGCCAGCATCCTGGGAGCTTCCAGGCTGGTGTGGTGGACAGTACATCCCAGGTTCAGGAGGGCAGGCAGGAAGCCTGTGCTCAGAGAGGGTGGAACTGGCAGGGCAGGCTCAAGCCTCACCCACCCTTAAAGAGCCCTGTGGACACTAAGCAGGGAGACCCACGGAGGAAGGGCTCGGGGAACAGAGAGGAACTGGCCAGAAAGAGCAGTTGGAGACAGGGACTCTTGGAGAGGAAGAGACAGACTTTACCAAGCTGGAGGAAGGGCCAGGGGTGGATTGTGCACCGTAGGGGCCTGATAGAAGTAGGTGCTCGAAAATAATTCACACCTGTAATTCCTGGTACCTTGGGAGACGGGGTGGGCGGATTGCTGGAGCCCAGGAGTTTGAGACCAGCCTGGGAAACATGGCACAACCCTGTCTCTACCAAAAAAGATTAAAAAATTAGCTGGACATGGGCCTGTAGTCCCAGCTACTCAGGAGGTTGAGGTGGGAGGATCGCTTGAGCTCAGGAGGTGAAGGTTGCAGTTAGTTGAGATCACACTATTGCACTCCAGCCTCGGTGACAGACCAAGAAACCTGTCTCAAAAAGATAAATAGAGGCCAGGCGTTGTGGCTCACGCCTGTAATCCCAGCACTTTGGAAGGCCGAGGCGGGTGGGTCATCTGAGGTGAGGAGTTTGAGACCAGCCTAACCAACATGGAGAAACCCTGTCTCTACTAAAAATACAGAATTAGCCAGGCATGATGGCACATGCCTGTAATCCCAGCTACTTGGGAGGCTGAGGCAGGAGAATCGCTTGAAGCCAGGAAGGGGAGGTTGCAGTGAGCTGAGGTGACACCATTGCACCCCAGACTGGGCAATAAGAGGGAAACTCTATCTCAAAAAAAAAAAAAAAAAAAAAAAAGATAGGTAGATAGATAAAATTCAAAGAATAGCCTGGGCAATGTAGTGAGACTTCGTCTCTACAAAAAATAATAGCCAGGTATGGTGTTGAGCACCTGTGGTTCCAGCTACATGGGAGGCTGAGATGGGAAGATCACTTGAGCTTGGGAGTTTAAGGCTGCAGCCAGCTGCGATTGCACCACAGCATTCCAGCCTGGGTGACAACAAGTCAACGTCTCTCAAAAAAACAATAAACTACCAGTGTTCGCAGCTACTTGGGAGGCTGAGGTGGGAGAATCAGCATGAACTTTGCATGGGACAAACATTCAAACCATAGCATTGTCCGCCCTCTTGTTTTCGGGAGGGCAATAATTGTTGGCATCTTTCTGCTTGCCTGGCTCTTTTTTTTTTTTTGAACAGGATCTTGCCCTGTCACCCTGGCTGGAGTGCAGTGGACGATCTCAGCTCACCACAACCTCCACCTCCCGGGTTCGAGTAATTCTTTCACCTTAGCCTCCCAAATAGCTGGAGCTACAGGCACACGCCACCACACCCAGCTAAGTTTTCTATTTTTAGTAGAGACAGGGTTTCACCATGTTGGCCAGGCGGATCTCAAACTCCTGACCTCAAGTGGTCTGTCTGCCTTGGCCTCCCAAACTATGGGGATTCCAGGCGTGAGCCACTGCACCCAGCCTTGCCTTTGTGACCTTTTTCCTTGAGTCCTCTCTCTCCTGATTGGCAGCCATAGAAATCTCTCACTGTACCTGTTTGAGCAGATCTGGAGAATGACCTCCTCAGAAAGCCCCCCATTCTCCTGACAGAATTCCATGTTCTCCACCCAGCTTTCATTTTATTGGCAACTATTCCAGACATTCCCTGTGGATTTGGTTAAGCTCCATCTGGCTGGTTTGGGGTGGCACATTAGCAGACGGAATTCTATTTGTATGTCTTATGTCTTTCCTACTTCTTTTAGTATAAAAATGTCCTAAAGGATGACAGTTTTTTTATCACCTATGCTGGATGAAGTGAAAAGTTGATGGCTTCTACATGGGTCCCCGGAATTGACTTGGAAAGGTCTTGTGGAGTTAGTTGAGCGCTGATCTGAGTGAGTGCGTCTGCAGAATGTGCTGTGTTGGTGTATCCCACCCAGCTGGCGTACATGTGGTGAGATCTTTGGAGAACTGAGCAGAGGTGGCTTGAGGGGGTGTGACCTACAGGGATGGCCTCTTAGATGCTTCCCTGCAGGGGACACACCAGGGGTCTGGGTTAAACAGCCTGATGCTTCAGAGGTCGCTCTGAAGGTGACCTAGCTGGGTGGCTCTTCACTGCATTTTTGTACCCCCGTTTGACAGTCACCTGATCACCCCGTTGATCTGAATCAATGGCAGTATTTTCTGTGGTTTTGTCTTTGTGAATGTGATCCATGTCGTCGTGTGGTGAGGTTTATTCACTGTCAGTCTGGTCTGTAAAACAGAAGCTGCAGCCAGTGAACCTGAAAAGGATACTAGGATCATCCAGGCCTTCCTCCCCAGCCCTGGAGCTGGGACCCTCAGAGCAGGGACACAGAAGGACTTGGAGGGAGCCACCTACCAACTCCAAGGTGAAGGAGAGTGTGGGTTCAGAAAAGTCCCCTTTTGGCTGGCCAAGGTGGCTCAGGCCTGTAATCCTAGCACTTTGGGAGTCTGAGGCAGATGGATCACTTGAGGTCAGGAGTTCAAGACCAGCCTGGCCAACATAGTAAATCCCTGACTCTACTAAAAATACAAAACTTAGCTGGGCATGGTGTCATGTTCCTGTAATCCCAGCTACTCATGAGGCTAAGGTGGAAGAATTGCTTGGACCCCAGAGGTAGAGGTTGCAGTGAGCTGAGATTGCGCCACTGCCACTGCAGCCTGGGTGACAGAATGAGACATTTCTTTTCTTTTTTCTTTTTTTGAGAGGGAGTCTCACTCTGTCACCAGGCTGGAGTGCAGTGCACAGTCTTGGCTCACTGCAACCTCCGACTCCCTGATTCAAGCTATTCTGCCTCAGCCTCCCAAGTAGCTGGAATTACAGGTGCCTGCCATTGTGCCCAGCTAATTTTTGTATTTTTAGGAGAGATGAGGTTTCACCATGTTGGCCGGGATGGTCTTGATCTCCTGACCTTGTGATCCGCCCGCATCAGCCTCCCAAAGTGCTGGGATTACAGGTGTGAGTCACCATGCCGGCTGTGAGACTACATTTCAAAAAAAAGAGAAAACCCCCCTTTTTCCCCAAAAGGCCAATAATATATATTCTAGAGCAACTCCATCCAATGGAGCTAGAATATGAGTCAGAGAAGGCATTAAAAGTAAAAAGAGGCCAAGCACAGTGGCTGATGTCTGCAATCCCAGCACTTTGGGAAGCCAAAGTGAGAGGATTGCTTGAGCCCAGGAGTTCGAGGCCAGCCCTGGCAGCATAGGGAGACCTCATCTCTACAAATGAAAAAAATTTTTTGAGATGGAGTTGCACTCTTGTTGCCCAGGCTGGAGTGCAATGGTATGACCTAGGCTCACCGCAACCTTTGCCTCCCAGGTTCAAGTGGTTCTCCTGCCTCAGCCTCCTGAGTAACTGGGATTACAGGCATACACCATCATGCCCGGCTAATTTCGTATTTTTACTAGAGACTGGGTTTCTCCATGTCGGTCAGGCTGGTCTCGAACTCCTGACCTCAGGTGATCCAGGCCAAAAAAATTTTTTTCTAATTAGCCAGATGTGGTGGTACCAGATTTGCTAGTATCCTCTGACTCAGGAGACTGAGGTAGGAGGATCACTTGAGCCCAGGAGGTCAAGGCTGCCGTGAGCTGTGATCAGGCCACCACACTCTAACCTAAGCAACAAAGTGAGACCCTGTCTCAAAAAGAAATGTAAATAAAATAATACAAAGGTAAGGCCAGGAACATGATGGCTCACACCTGTAATCTGTAATCCCAGCACTTTGGAAAGCCAAGGCTAGAGGATTGCGTAGCCTAGGAGTTCGAGACCAGCCTGGGCAACGTGGCAAAACCCCTCTACTAAAAATACAAAAATTAACCAGGCATGGTGGCCTGTAATCCCAGCTACTTGGGAAGCTGAGGTGGGGCATCATCCGAGCCCAGGAGGTCGAGGCTGTAGTGATCACACCACTATACTATAGCCTGAGTGACAGAGAGGGACCCTGTCTCACAAATAAATAACTAAAATATAAAGAGAAACCAGGAGATTACAGCTATTAGGGCAATAAAAGTATTGCCGTAATAGTTTTATTGAGGTCAACGTATTCTCATTTCAACATATAATCAGTATAAAAAGTGAGACCCTTTAAGTTTTTTTCCCCTTTGCACCAGTTTTCAGAATATAATGTGTGTGGTGAGGCGCATTGGCTCATGCCTGTAATCTCAGCACTTAGGGAGGTCAAGACAGGGGGATCACTTGAGGCCAGGAGTTTGAGACCAGCCGGGCCAACATGACAAAAAATACTAAAAATGCAGAAGTTAGGTGAGCATGGTAGCGAGCACCTGTAGTTCCAACTACTCGGGAGGCTGAGGCAAGAGAATTGCTGGAACCCAGAAGGCAGAGTTTGCAGTGAACTGAAATCACACCAGTGTATTCCAGTCTGGGCAGCAGAGCGAGACTGTCTAAAACATAAAAAGGATCTGGTGTGTGTTTTGTATCTCAGCACTTCTCGGTTTGGACCAGCCATATTTGCAGTGCTCAGTAGCTGCATGTGGCCAGCAACCCCCATACTGGATGGTGCAGCTCTAGGAGATTCTCCTCCAAGAAAGGGGGTTTTTCCTCCCCTTGGGAGCCAGGTCCATCTGGTCTGGATGCCTCCAAGCTACAGAATGTGTTCTCTGCCTGAGCCAAAACCTCTGTGCCCTGTGCCTCCTCCTCTGCCAGCCAGCGCAGCCCTGTGGGGTCCTCCCTTCCCTGGACAGTGTCTATCAGGTGTGGAGAGGAGTGGAGTATGTCCCCCTGGAATTTTCTCCAAGTCAACTCTTGGGTGCCTGCTTCTCCCCCTGGACACAGGAGGAAGATTCCCAGTGACTGAGTAATCACAGAGATGATGAGGATGGGCCAAGCGCAGCGGCTCAGCCCTGGAACTCCAGCACTCTGAGAGGCTGAGGCAGGTGGATCACTTGAGGTCAGGAGTTTGAGACCAGCCTGGCCAACATGGTGAAACCCCGTCTCACTAAAAATAAAAGATTAGTTGGGCATGGCGGCTCATGCCTGTACTCCCAGCTGCTTGGGAGGCTGAGGCAGGAGAATTGTTTGAACCCAGGACTCAGAGATTACAGTGAGACTCCATCTCAAAAAAAAAAAAAAAGATGAGGATGATGATTGTGCTGATAAGCAGCAGACCCTGGGCCAAGAGGAAGTGACATCACTCACCAGCGTCCCTTAGCTTGTAAGATTGCACCCAGAGCCCCTGCTGTTGGCCAGCTCTCTTTCCCCTTTCCCTGTCTTTCTCTGGTCCCAGGGGCAGGATGGAGAGTTGAGGGAGGGCAGACTGAGTTTTCCTTCGCAGCAGAAGGAACAGCTGAAAAGTCCCTGGGTGCGGTGGCTCATGCCTGTAATCCCAGCACTTTGGGAGGCTGAGGTGGATGGATCACAAGGTCAAGAGATTGAGACTAGCCTAGCCAACGTGGTTACATCCCATCTCTACTAAAAATACAAAATTAGGCGGGCGTGGTGGTGCATGCCTGTAGTTCTAGCTACCCAGGAGACTGAGGCAGGAGAATAGCTGGAACCTGGGAGGGGGAGGTTGCAGTGAGCCGAGATCACGTCACGGCACTCCAGCTTGGGTGACAGAGCAAGACTCTGTCTCAAAAAAGGAAAAATACTTCTTTTTGGGTCAGGTATGTGGCTCACGCCTGTAATCCCAACACTTTGGGAGGCCAGGGTGGGCAGATCACACCACTGCACTCCAGCCTGGGCAACAGAGCAAGATTCCAAAAAAAGAGTCCACAGGCCACGGCAGAGGTCGAGGATGGAGCATGGGCACACACAAGCCCCTTCCTCTCTGGCAGTATTCAGACAACTGGCAGGGAGCCTGTGGCCAACCTGGCCTCTGCGAGAGGAAGTGAGGCCAACTCCTGGCTGGGGATTCACAGCCCCAAAGTGTTTCTCATGTTGGTTTCTCATGTTGGTGGCTTCGGGCCTTCTCTGGAACTGTTTGCTGCCTGTTTATAGTCACGTATTCAGTTGGTCATGACTGAGCCTGGGCAGGCGCTCCATTTGTGTTAAAACAGGCTCTGTACCTACCCACATCCCTGCATGGGGTTTGCAGACCGGTTGCAGGGATGGACAGCAGGCACGTAAAACACCCGGTAGGTAATTTTGGATAGTGGTGAAATGTGAAGTAAACAAAGTTGGCAGGAGCATGACTGCATAGCCTCAGTCAGTGGGGTGCCCAGGGAAGCCCTGTGGAAGAAGGACATTCTACCAGGGACCTGAACGCCACAGAGAAGCCAGCCACAAAGATTGTGTAGGGGCATGCGTTCCTGGGAGATGGGGCAGCACGCCTGAAGGCCCTGGGTCGGCATATTTGAGGAGAAGCGGAAGGTGGTGAGGGTTCAGAGGTCACCGGGGCTATGGTGAGTGTCGGATTCCAAAGCTGCAGGATGCCACGATCAGTCACTTGTTTTTATTTATGTATTTGTTTTTACTTTTTATTTTATTTATTTATTTTCTGAGAGGGAGTTTCACTCAGCCTCCTGAGTAGCTGGGATTACAGGCGCCCGCCCCCATGCCCGGCTGATTTTTGTATTTTTAGTAGAGACAGGGTTCCACCATGTTGGCCAGGCTGGTCTGGAACTCCTGATCTCAGGTGATCCGCCTGCCTCAGCCTCCCAAAGTGCTGGGATTACAGTGCCCTGCTGAGCTCCGGTTTCTGCCTGAGGCATTTGGTGATGGTGGCATCCCCATGATGATGGGGAGCTGGGATTGGTTGAGGTTTGGGGAGGCTGTTCTGGCATTCTAGGTCACGTTGATCTCTGCAGGTGAGTGCAAGGTGGATGCCAGGAGACCATGAGCTGCTGCTGGTGGCCAGGGGTCCAGGCTCTGGAGGCTGCAGATGCCGGCAGATCTCATGTCCCCTCCTTTCCCCACCTGTCACCCACAGTGATCAACAAATACAAGCGCAGGCGATTTCAGAAAACCAAGAACCTGCTGACGGGAGAGACAGAAGCAGACCCAGAAATGATCAAGGTAAATGGGCAGGGCTGTCAGGGCCTATAGGGACCAGCCAGGCCGTTCACAGCTCAGACCAGACCATTGGGGCTGTCATCTGTCACCACCACTGAGCCACTGTGCAGGCTCAGTGACGCCGCCTCCCCTCCCTGAGCACTGGGCTCCTCCAATGGTAAGTGGGGTCAGGAGGCGGCTGCCTCTCAGGGAATAGGGAGGATCCCAGACAAGGTTACCTGGGCCTACCCCATCTCTCCCTAAAAAAAGAGAGAGAAAAGAAAGAAAGAAAAGAGACTGCCCATGCTGGCTCACTCCTGTCATCCCAGCACTTTGGGAGGCTGAGGTCGGAGGATCGTGCTTGAGTCCAGGAATTTAAGACCAGCTTGGGCAACATAGCAAGATCCCATTTTCTTAGCCCCATTTTCCCACAAGGACACTTGCTCAGTCTGACAGCCAGGAAGTGGCAGGGCCAGGATTCTCACCCACACAGCCAGGCCCCACAGTCCAAGCTCAGCCTGGCACCAAGCAGGCAAATGAGAATATGGCTTTAATAGGAACTGAAGGATTAGTAGTTGCTGTCACTCCTGGTGGGCTGGGGAGCCGGGCTGTTAATCTGTGGTTAACCTGCAGTGGGCACTAAGAGCCTTCCTGTCTCCACGGGTGGTCCTGCATGGGAGGGGTGGTCCCTGCCTCTGCCTCTGCAGGCCTTGGTTTTCTGCACTGTGGAGTGGGAGGATCCTTTTGGTGGCCGGAAGGGTCCTGGGTGACAGAATCTCTAAGCCCAGGGAGAAGATCCTTCTGCCAGCAGTTGCTGTGGTGGCTGATGCTCTGCTGCCAGGGTTGTCGGGAGGTGGCTCATGCCTGTAATCCCAGCATTTTGGGAGGCTAAAGCAGAAGGATTACTTGCACCCAGAAGTTCAAGACTAGCCCAGGCAGCATAGTGGGAACCCCATTTCTCCCTAAAAAGAGAGAGAGAGAAAAGAAAGGAGGAAAGAAAAGAGGCTGCCCGTGGTAGCTCACTCCTGTGATCCCAGCACTTTGGGAGGCCGAGGTGGGAGGGTCGTGCTTGAGCTCAGAAATTCGCGATCAGTTTGGACAACATAGCGAGACTCCATCTCAAAAAAAAATAATAATAAATAAATAAATAAAAAGCAAAGATTAAAATTGTCATGGGAACCCTTGGAAGTGAGCAGAGGCTGATGGTGCCTGGGCACTTCCACCTGCCTCTGAGGCCCTTCCCTCCATGTCACCTCAGAGGGCTGAGGACTATGGGCCTGTGGAGGTGATCTCCCACTGGCACCCCAACATCACCATCAATATCGTGGACGACCACACGCCGTGGGTGAAGGGCAGTGTGCCCCCTCCCCTGGATCAGTGTAAGTTCCCAGCCCTGCCTGCTGCTTGCAGAGGCCTCTGGGAGGGTGCTTGGGGCCCATCTCCTTATCTTCTCCTGGCCCCGTCCCCCTCAGAGGAGGGCTCCACCCTCCCAAGCTCCCCACCCTGTCCTATCCCCTTCTCATGTCCTCTCCCTGTCCCACAGCCCCACACCCCTGGACTGACTGCCACACACCAGCATCGGTCCACACACAAGTCCCATCCAACCCACAGACAGTTTTCAAAAAATGTTTATCACTTTCCAACTTTGGAAATGGAGGCAGTATCACTTAAAAGCCACAATTTCTGGCTTATTTCATAAAACTGGGTTACATGGTCACCCATGGGGCAGCCGTGGGCTGGAGCTGAGCCACCACTGCCCTCTTCAGTGGGGAGCTGCCTACCCTTTGCATGTGATCCCCTTTGCTGAGGTTAGGGGGCCCCTTCGCTCCTCACAGTGTGGCCTAGAAATGTCCCCTATCCTCTATTCTCTGTAGAGGTGCCCTGTTGGGTCCCTCCAGACACCTGAGGCCTGTGGGTACCCTGGCCTCCTGCCTGGGCCAAACAGTGTCCCCCTGCCCCACGTGCTGCAGATGTGAAGTTTGACGCTGTGAGCGGTGACTATTACCCCATCATCTACTTCAATGACTACTGGAACCTGCAGAAGGACTACTACCCCATCAACGAGAGCCTGGCCAGCCTGCCGCTCCGTGTCTCCTTTTGCCCGCTCTCGCTCTGGCGCTGGCAACTCTATGCCGCCCAGAGCACCAAGTCGCCCTGGAACTTCCTGGGTGATGAGTTGTATGAGCAGTCAGATGAGGAGCAGGATTCAGTGAAGGTGAGTGTGGGCGGGGCTTCCTGGCGCCTTCCTGGGCGCATCGGGCCAAGGGGAAGTGCACCAGGCCTTGGCTGTGGGATCTCCCGCCTGGCACTCCTCTGCCCACAGTTTCACAACCTCCCAGGTCCCTTCTCCACAGTGAAAGGAAGTGGGCCTCTGGCCCTCTGGCTCTAGATGACTGGGGGTCCTCTCCCCAGGCTGTTCTGATGGCTTGGCCAGGCCCTTTGGGTCCAGACCCATCCCTTCCTCCTGTCTCAGACCTGGTCTCCCTGGCCATGGGCTCCGACTCTATGTCTCTGCCCTCTCACTGGGTTCTGAAGTGCTGGCCTGTGTCTGTGGCGTGAGGCTCAGCTTTGCCTCCTGGACTGTCATCACTGTTGGGTCTCTGCTGCTCACCCAGTGTCCCTTCATCCTCTCCCTGCAGTGCCCCCTCAGTCTCTGCCTCTTCCCCTAGTGCCATCTCCCTGTCTCTTCTGTCTCTGTGAGTCACCCTCCTCTCTGTCCCCATCTGCTCATCTCTGACCCAGTCTCCTCCCAGCTGGCCTACCCTCACCCTACCCTCTTTAGGCAGCCCCAGGGCAGGTCTCAGGACAAGAAGGGAGCCCCCTAGTGAAGGGGCTCTTGGGCAAGGGCGGGCTGTGCTCAAAGGTGTCCCCTGCAGGTGGCCCTGCTGGAGACCAACCCCTACCTGCTGGCGCTCACCATCATCGTGTCTATCGTTCACAGTGTCTTCGAGTTCCTGGCCTTCAAGAATGGTAGGAACCGGACCGGGGCCAGTGAGGGGCTCTGGAGGGTGGGGGACAGGGCTTGCCCCCTTCCTCTTCCCCTCCCTACCTACATGTCCTCCCCCTTCCTGGGGTCTCTCAGTCCCACTCTCCAGAGGCCTAGTGAGCTGGGGAGGGGCAGTGGCCCCAAAACTCCCAGCCCAAAAATTCCCATTCACCGGGTGTGGAGCTGAGGGAGGGGCTGGCCTGCCTCTGGGGCAGAGGACAGGCTGATACTGCCAGGAAGCGGGGCTGGGGAACTCCAGCGCCAGGAGCAGGGAAGCCCCGGAGCTGCTCCGCCACCCTGCCCAGCAGGCTGCCTGCCTCTGGAGGCAGCTCAGGACTGAGTGGACAGGGTCTGCCCGAGTGGGAAGGAGGAACACTGTGCCCCGAAGGTCCCTAGGTTCTAAGGCTGACAATGCTGATGGCAGCTTTTGAGGAGGAGCGGCCACGTACCAGGCACTGCCTTGAGGGCCTCCCCAGCTAGCTCCTTGAGCCCTACAGGAGCCAGAGGCTCAGGGATGTCACTTGCCCAGTTACATGGTTCTGAAGGGGCAGATGGTTCCAGCCCCAACTCTCATCTTCTAGGCCCTGCAGGCCACTTCTTCCTTCCCGAGAGCACCCCTGTCTGAAGGGGGTGGCCTGCTGTCCGCAGCTCCTGGAGGTGGCAGGAGGAACGAGTAGTCGTATTCCTGGTACTAAAATGCTATTGTTGGTGTGGTGGCGGCTCTCGCCCGTAATCCCAGCACTTTGGTGGGAGGATCACCTGAGCCCAGGATTCAGAGATGATCACCCTGGGCCACAAAGTGAGATTCTGTTTCTACGCAATTTTTTTTTTAATAATTACCTAGGCATGGCGGTGTGTGCCTGTGGGCTCAGCTACTGGGGCCGCTTGGGCCTGAGAGGTCAAGGCTGCAGTGAGCCATGATCACGCCACTGATCTCCAGCCTAGGCAACAGAGTGAGACCCTATTCCAAAAAAAGGATGCTCTTTGCTATTTTTTTTTTTTTTTGAGACAGTCTCGCTCTGTTGCCAGGCACCAGGCTAGAGTGCAGTGACGCAATCTCAGCTCACTGCAACCTCCGCCTCCCAGGTTCAAGCAGTTCTCCTGCCTCAGCCTCCTGAGTAGCTGAGACCACAGGCGCATGCCACCACGCCCAGCTAATATTTGTATTTTTAGTAAAGACTGGGTTTCACCATGTTGGCCATGATGGTCTCGATCTCTTGACCTCATGATCCGTCTGCCTCGGCCTCCCAAAGTGCTGGGATTACAGGTGGGAGACACCATGCCCGGCTGCTCTTTGCTATTATTGAGAGCTGCTATCTGGAAGAATTCAGTGTCATACAGGCACAGGAGCTGGTGCTGACCCCAGCCAGCCATCTACCCACTGTCCTGGGAGACAGGACCCTTCTGCCTTGGAGCTGGCTTGGTTGGGGTCCAATAAGAAATGAGGCATGAGAAGGCTGGTTCCTCACCCAATATCACGCAGCAGGGGGCGCAGCCATCACTTGGCACAAATGCTGTGTGGCCTCCCTGGTCTAAGGAGGGGCTTGGGCCCACCCGTCCCCACCAGAACCTGGTCTCCAGACCCATTCTCAGTTGGGACGGGGGTCAGTCTGAGGGGTAGGGGAGAGTGGAGCGAACCTGTGGAGTGATTCAGAGCTCTGGAATGTGGGGGAGCTCAGGGATGGGGCAGGGTGCAGATGGGCCAGAATTCACAGCCCTCACTCCCTGAGTGCAGAGCTGGCTTTCACCCTGCAGGCCTGCAGACCCGGCTCTACCACTGTGCTACAGACATGGTGGCTCAGCACACATGCTTCCATCTGGAGTCCTGTGGCTGCAGTTAGACGCTCAGCCGAGCAGGGTCAGAGAGGGGTGTCTATGGTGAGACTGGGGCTTAGAGCTAGGAGCTCACTAATATGGATCCCTGGCAGCATCCAGGCGGAGCACTGGAAGAAGCTCCAGACTGGAGCCCTTGTCTGTTTCCTGAGCCAGTTCCTTCACGGTGTCAGGGTGGGGGCCTGGAGGAGGTGGTCTCAAAGCGCATGCACAGATTTCCTGCCCAGGGGAAGCAGGCTGGCACCACAGCGCAGCACTGACCCAGCATTCCTCCAGATTCTGCCATGCCAGGCCGTTTGGCCTCAGGGAAGCAGCTTTCCTGACCAGCCTTCAGCACCTGGCATGTGGTGAGCCCCATCCATGGCAGCAGTCACTGTCACCATCAGTCGGGGGACTGCACCCTGGGGTGCTGGGTGCTGATGTCTTATGGGAGGACTCCAGGGGTGCTGCCTATCTAGTGCCCTGGGGCCACCCGATGAATGAGAGCACCTCCCTGGGAGAGAAGAGTCTTGTTCGGCACCCGTCCTGAGGACCCAGCCCCGCCCCGGGGTGTGAGGAGGCTGCAGGCCAAGGGGGCCTGAGGGAGCTGAAGAAGGGTCTCTGCAGCTCCTCAGCCTCCCGTTGCCCCCACCCACTGTGCGCAGATATCCAGTTCTGGAACAGCCGGCAGTCCCTGGAGGGCCTGTCTGTGCGCTCCGTCTTCTTCGGCGTTTTTCAGTCATTTGTGGTCCTCCTCTACATCCTGGACAACGAGACCAACTTTGTGGTCCAAGTTAGCGTTTTCATCGGGGTCCTCATCGACCTCTGGAAGATCACCAAGGTCATGGACGTCCGGGTAAGGCTGGGGCGCCGTGCTGTCTCGGGCTGGGGCTGCAGGGGTTGGGAGAGGATAGTGTGGCCCAGCCAGACCCTGGAGCTGGCCCCTGGGGGATTCCCAGCACGCGCCTCACTCCCAGGACTGAGGGGATTTTCTCACCAGGGGATTTCTTGGGTCACACATGGGGCAGGGGAACTGGGAACGGTGGGGAAGGGCAGGGGCTGGTTCTGGCTTGTGGAACAGGAGACAGCCTGGCAACTGACCACGGCCACCCCCTTGTCCACAGCTGGACCGGGAGCACAGGGTGGCAGGTATCTTCCCCCGCCTGTCATTTAAGGACAAGTCCACGTATATCGAGTCCTCGACCAAAGTGTATGATGATGTGAGTGTCCGCACAGTGGGCCCCTCGGGGTGGCCTCCAAGTACCCACACGCCCCTGAGAGACCCAGGGGTCGGCCATATCCCTGCTGGGCCCACGCTTTATGGCCTGCGTCCCATCCTCTGTGTCCCCCACCTGCCATAACTGCTTCCTGGTGGAGTCCAGAGTCCCCAGGACTACCTGGAAATTCCCCCTGCCCAGCCTGCCAGACCAGGTGTGATGGGTGAGGGTGGGGAGCAGGGCTGCCAGGCGGGGCCGAGGCGCTGGCTAACAGCCCCACCCTGTGGCCCCACAGATGGCGTTCCGGTACCTGTCCTGGATCCTCTTCCCACTCCTGGGCTGCTACGCCATCTACAGCCTTCTGTACCTGGAGCACAAGGGCTGGTACTCCTGGGTACTCAGCATGCTCTATGGCTTCCTGCTGACCTTTGGTGAGCAGCACGGCAGCCCCAGGAGAGAGCAGACCCCCTGCTGGGCGGGGCTCACAGCCCAGTGTGGGAGACAGACAGACCCAACCCCAGACAGGGACAACCCAGGGTGGGCAGAGCTGGGAGGTGGGGAGCCCAGAGGGCACACATGGTTCCATCTGGGGTCAGAGAGGGCTTTGGGGAGGACATGAACAGTATGCTTCAGTCCCCATCCTCGGGGGAGCTTGCATCTTGGGATCAGGACGAGTAAACTCTCTCTAACAGTAGAGCTGGGTGCAGTGGCTCATACCTGTTATCCCGACACTGTGGGAGGCCAAGGCAGAAGGGTCACCTGAGCCCAGGAATTCCTGACCAGCCTGGGCAACATGGCAAGGCCCAATCTCTACAAAAAAACACAGACATTAGTGGGGAGTGGTGGTACGTGCCTGCAGTCCCAGCTACCTGGGAGGCTGAGGTGGGAGGATCCCTTGAGCCCAGGAGGCTGAAGTCGCAGTGAGCCATGATTTTACTGCACCTCAGCCTGGGCAACAGAGTGAGACCCTGTCTCCAGAAGCAAAAAACCAGGTGAATCACAGCCAGTAATGAGTACAGTGAAGGGCAGAGTGGGGGGGAGACGTACATTAATAGGGGGCTCCTCTGAGGAGAGGACATTTAAACTGAGGCCTCACATATCCAGGGAGGGGCCGTGTAGGTGTGACTGAGGACCCCACCAGCACAGAGGCCACCGGTAGACTGTGCCCAGGTGTAGGAGGTGGTGAGGGGCTGGTATGGCCGGTACAGAGCATGCAGGGGAGCGGCGGGAGAGGCCGTCCCTCCGCTCATGGTGCCCCTCGCTGTAGGCTTCATCACCATGACACCCCAGCTCTTCATCAACTACAAGCTCAAGTCCGTGGCCCACCTGCCATGGCGCATGCTCACCTACAAGGCCCTCAACACCTTCATCGATGACCTGTTCGCCTTTGTCATCAAGATGCCTGTTATGTACCGAATTGGCTGCCTGCGGGATGGTGAGGCCCGGCGGGCAGGTGGGGGCCCAGGTCTGAGGGGGTGCCACGGCCCCCAATGGGGTTCTAGTCTGAGGGGGCTCGGCCCTGCCCTTGCATCACGCCCTCTCCGCCCAGGCCCACCTGGCTGTGGACCGGCCAGTCCTGACCTCACTGCCTCCCACCCCTCCCCAGATGTGGTTTTCTTCATCTACCTCTACCAACGGTGGATCTACCGCGTCGACCCCACTCGGGTCAACGAGTTTGGCATGAGTGGAGAGGACCCCACAGCTGCCATCCCTGTGGCCGAGGTTCCCACAGCAGCAGGGGCCCTCACGCCCGAACCTGCACCCACCACGACCACCGCCACCAGGGAGGAGGCCTCCACGTCCCTGCCCGCCAAGCCCACCCAGGGGGCCAGCTCTGCCAGCGAGCCCCAGGAAGCCCCTCCAAAGCCAGCAGAGGACAAGAAAAAGGATTAGTCGCAACTGGTCCTGGCCTGCTCCGGCTCCTGGTGACCACCACCCCTGTGCCCCGGCCCCCCCACCCCCACTCCCTGTCGCCCTTTCCCTGGACAGATCAGGCCAGGGTGGCAGGAGGCCCGCCTCGGGCCAGGGCCCAGTGTGTGACGTAGGGGCCGGGGCAGGCCAGGGCTTGTTTGTGGAGGCGCCGTCTGTCCCTCTGTCTCTCTGTTTCCAGCCATCTCGCCCTGCCAGCCCAGCACCACTGGGAATCATGGTGAAGCTGACGTGGTGCTGCCGAGGGGGTGGGCGGGGGTGGGGCTGGGGCCGGGCCCCGCTACAGGATGACCATGGCCGTCCATCATCTTGTCCCTCATCCCTCAACCACATCCCCCCAACCACCGCCCTTTAACACAGTCTGGATTTAATAAATTCATATGGGTGTTTAACTTAAACTCAGCACTGCCCCTCCTCCTCGTGCCTTCCTTCCTCTGCTGCCTTGGAGAGCAGCTTCAAGCAGGGATGGTGACTCTCCTGGGTCTGGGAGGGAGACCTGCAGGGTATGGGATGTGGAAAGGTGGAGATTGTAACCCTGTGTCAAGAGCCATACCTGGCGAGGTGGATGGATCACTTAAGGTCAGGAGTTGGGGACCAGCCTGGCCAACATAGTGAAACCCCATCTCTACTAAAAATATAAACATTGGGTGTGGTGGTGGGTGCCTATAATCACAGCTACTCAAGAGGCTGAGGCAGGAGAATCATTTGAACCTGGGAGGCAGAGGTTGCAGTGAGCCGAGATTGCACCACTGCACTTCAGCCTGGGCAACAGAGCAAGACTCCATCTCAAAAAAAAAAAGACCCATACTTGCCGAGCCAGGCCTCTTCCTCACTTCTTGCCCTCCCACCAGCCCTCTGAGATTTCATTAACTGGCCCCATTTCTGATTCCTGGGGAAGCTGCTTGCAGGGAGCTCGCTGCCCCGTACCTTTTCCTGCCAGCTGCCTCTGCTAGGCTCAGGCGGGAGCCTCCCATGCACCCGCTGGATGTCTCCTAACCCAGCATCGCCAGGCAGGGCCAAGCACAGCTCTCAGCCGTGGACCATGAGCAGAGGCACCCACCACCATGAGGCCTCAGCGCAGCACTCGGGCACTCTAGTGTGTGCCCTCGCTTTTTTCTGCTGACACCCACTCACCCCCCAGGTTAGGAGGCATGGGGGTGAAGCCTTAGCTGGCCTGAGTGGCACCTAGCTGTAGCACTCCGTGGGTATTGGGGTATCAATCCACATCCCCAGGGCTGCCTGTGACAAGGACCAGCCAAGCTCTCCAGAGGTGGCACGAGTTGGCCTTGCCAGCCCAGCCCCTGGTACTGGGACCCTTCACCCACTGGATAGGGGAGTTGAGCAAGGCCTCTGTCCTCTGAGGAGTGGGGACCCTACATTCCCGGGTGTACTTTTTTGGGAGTGGACTCAGCGCTGAGGACCACACCAGTTTCCTTCAGGCTCCAGCTGCCACCCCACATTGCAGAGCCAGGCAGGGGCTCCGTGAGATCCCAGGGAGACAGCACTCATGGAGCCCCATACAGGCCCACAAACAGGCCTCGGCAGTCTCCCATCCCTCAGGGCAGCCATGGGTTGCCATTACCAGCCCCCCAACTCTGTGCCACTCCATGGCTCCCCCAGTGTCCTTTGAGCCCCAGGCTCTGCACCATGGCCTGATAGGCTCCTAGGAACCCTCAAGAGTTGGGGGCAGCTCTCCAGCCGCCTGCACTCCCTGGCCTCATCACCCATTTATTCCTCTCGTAGCTCCACACCCCAGCCTTTGACAAGCCCCAGCAACTACCCCCACAACTCCTTGAGGGTCTCGCGTCTTCACTGGGACCACCTGCTCCAGGCCTCTCTACCCTCTGGGGTTTTTGCCTCGTGTCCTCTCTAGTCCTCTGTCCCTATCCTGCCCTCCCGCATCCCATTCACGCTCTAGCAGCTGGAGGAAACTTTTTTGTTTTATTTGAGACGGAGTCTCGCTCTGTTGCCCAGGCTGGAGTGCAGTGGTACAATCTCAGCTCACTGAAACCTCTGCCTCCTGGGTTCAAGCGATTCTCCTGCCTCAGCCTCCTCAGTAGCTGGGATTACAGGTGTGCATCACCACGCCTGGCTAATGTTTTTTGTATTTTTAGTAGAGACCATTTCTGGGGTTTCACCATTTTGGCCAAGCTGGTCTCGAACTCCTGACCTCAAGCAATCCGCCCACCTTAGCCTCCCAAAGTGCTGGGATTACTGACGTGAGCCATAGTGCCTGGCCCAGCTAGAAGAAACTTTCTAGTTTCTTCTTCTAAAGCGCAAACCTGACCTTGCCCAGCCCTTGCTCAGAACCTACCGTGGCTGCCCAGTGACCTCAGGAGAAAGCCCAGGCTCCTTACTGAGGAGTGAGATCTTGGTGGGAGAGACACTTCTTTTTTTTTTTTTTTTTTTTTTTTTTTTTTTTTTTTTTTTTTTTGTGAGACAGAGTTTTGCTCTCGTTACCCAGGCTGGAGTGCAATGGCACGATCTCGGCTCACCGCAACCTCCGCCTCCTGGGTTCAGGCAATTCTCCTGGTCTTTCTCCTACCAGCCCCCAGGCACACAACCCCTACTTTTTTTTTTCTTTGAGACAAAGTCTTGCATTGTCACCCAGGCTGGAGTCGGTGGCACAATCACAGCTCTGCAGCCTTAACCTCCGGGCCTTAAGCGATCCTCCCGCCGCAGCCTCCACACTAGCTAGAACCAGTCAAGTGCCACTACACCTGTGTCATTTTTAATTTTTTGTAGAGATGGGGTTTCTCGATGTTGCCAAAGCTGATTTCAAACTCCTGGCCTCAAGCAGTCATCCTATCTGGGCCTCTCAAAGTGCTGGGGTTACGAGCCTAAGCCACCACGGCTGGCTCATCTCCTCTTTCCCTTACCCCATGTGTCCTCCGGGTTGTGGCTCCAATGCCCCCTCCTCTAGGAAGCCCTCCCTGGCTGCCAAGATCTCTGGGGTCTCATGGCAGCCCTGCCCACTATGAGTCATCACTGGGGACAGGTTGGTCTCTTCCACTGGATGGAGCCTTGTGAGGACACAGCCAGACCTGTCTTGATCACTGCTGTGTCCCCAGCATAGGGACAAGCACAGAGAAGCCACTCCAGGAATGTTTGATGAGTGCATGTTGAACAATCCAACATTCACTTTCCCAGACACGGACACATCCAGAAGTGTGGACCTCGTTGGGGCCCACATTCAGACACTGGAGACTGTGACAAGCAGTCAACAAATGTAACAAACATTCCCTGAGCCCTGCCCTGGGTGGGGTTGAGTGCTGGGCGTTTTTTGTATATACAGCCAGGACCAAGACAGACCCAGACCTGCCCTCATGGGGCTCACAGCCCAGCAGAAATCCTGAGTGCTGAGAATGTCTGACATGTCCTTTTTATTTTTTATTTTATTTACTTATTTATTTAGAGACGGAGTTTTGCTCTTGTTACCCAGGCCAGAGTGCAATGGCACGATCTCGGCTCACCGCAACCTCCGCCTCCTGGGTTCAAGCAATTCTCCCACCTCGGCCTCCCAAAGTGCTGGGATTACAGGCTTGAGCCACCGGACCTATTTATTTATTTTTGAGATGGAGTCTCACTCTGTCACCCGACTGGAGTGCATAGCACGATCTCAGCTCACTGCAACCTCCACCTCCTGGGTTCAAGCAATTCTCCTGCCTTAGCCTCCTGACTATCTGTGATACACGAGGCCCACTAAATTTTTCGTATTTTTAATAGATTCAGGGTTTCACCATATTGGTCAGGCTGGTCTCAAACTCTTGACCTCAGGTGATCTACCCATCTTGGCCTAGCACAGTGCTGGGATTACAGCCACCATGCCCGTCCATCCTTTTTACTTTTTAATTTTTTTTTTTCAGGCAGAGCGTCCCTCACCCAAGCTGGAGTGAGTGCAGTGGCATGATCTCGGCTCACTGCAACCTCCGTCTCCCAGGTTCAAGTGATTCTTCTGCCTCAGCCTCCCAAGTAGCTGGGATTATAGGTGTCTGCCACCACACCTGGCTAATTTTTGTATTTTTAGTAGACACGGGGTTTCGCCATGTTGGCCAGGCTAGCCTTAAATTCTTGATCTCAGGTGATCTGCCTGCCTCAGCCTCCCAAAGTGCTGGGATTACAGACATGAGCCACGGCTCCCAACCCTGACATGTCCTTTTAGTTAGTCACTACAGACCTTTTTTTTTTTTTTTTTGAGATGGAGTTTTGTTGTTGTTACCCAGACTGGAGTGCAATGGCACGATCTCGGCTCACTGCAACCTCCGCCTCCTGGGTTCAAGCAATTCTCCTGCCTCAGCCTTCCGAGTAGCTGGGACTACAGGCGTGCACCACCATGCCCAGCTAATTTTTGTATTTTTAGTAGAGACGGGGTTTCACCTTGTTAACCAGGATGGTCTCGATCTCTTGACCTCGTGATCCACTTGCCTTGGCCTCCCAAAGTGCTGGGATTACCGCGCCTGGCCTTTTTTTTTTTTTAAAAAAACAGAATCTCACTCTGTCACCCAGGCTGGAGTGCAGTGACACAATCTCGGCTCACTTTTGGCCTTTGCTTCCTGGGTTCAAGCGATTGTTCTGCCTCCGCCTCCTTAGTAGCTGGGACTACAGGCGCACGCCACCATGCTTGGCTAGTTTGGTGTTTTTAGTAGAGACCGAGTTTCATCATTTGGCCAGGCTGGTCTTAAATTACTGACCTCAAGTGATCCACCTGCCTTGGTCTCCCAAAGTGCTGGGATTACAGGCGTGAGCCACCATGCCCAGGATCAACAACTATTTTTGAGGCCTGGCATTGGCAAGGGGCAGAGAGGAATCAGGAGAGCTTCTGGTCCTGCAACAATGGAGCTGCTATTTGTCACCCTTATCATAAACACTAGTCTAAGTGCAGCATGAGGTGGGCTTCATCCATTACATTTAATATTACTCACTGTCCTGGTCACCTTCCCAGTCCATCACTTTGCCCTCATCTCCACCTCTTTCCTGTCAGTCACTCGCACCAGCCTCCTCACTGTTCCTTTTTTTTTTTTTTTTTTTGAGACGGAGTTTTGCTCATTACCCAGGCTGGAGTGCGATGGCGTGATCTCAACTCACCGCAACCTCCGCCTCCTGGGTTCAGGCAATTCTCCTGCCTCAGCCTCCCGAGTAGCTGGGATTACAGGCACATGCCACCATGCCCAGCTAATTTTTTGTATTTTTAGTAGAGATAGGGTTTCACCATGTTGACCAGGATGGTCTCAATCTCTTGACCTCGTGATCCACCCACCTCAGCCTCCCAAAGTGCTGGGATTACAATTTTTTGTATTTTTTTTTAGTAGAGATGGGGTTTCACCATGTTGACCAGGATGGTCTCAATCTCTTGACCTCGTGATCCACTGCCTCGGCCTCCCAAGGTGCTGGGATTACAGGCT